TTGTCGTGAAAACATTGAGAACAAAATAATTTGTTTTGTTTGCGATAAAAGTTTTTAATGCAGAACAGAAACCTCGTTTCGAAGCTTCCTTGTTGCAAAATATTTTATCACCACGTGTTAGTTTCGACAAACTGTAGTTGAATATTACATACAATAAATTATATACAATAAAAACATTATTTTGCTTTTATTGTTAAAATTTTATTACGAAGATTATTTCGCGGAATAAATTCATCCAACAATAAGTGCAGAATATTAAACGAAGTTAAAAGATTAGCACATTCTACAACTGTGTGATAAAAATAATTCATGACACGAGAAGTCATTTGCTTTCTCAAATAATCTGAGTATTCAGATGATTCCCTTGTCTGATATTAATTCCTATCAACACGATACAAGTAGAGTAGAGATAATAATTCTTCAACACATCAATATTTCGTTCATTATTAATAATAACGATAATAATAAACTTTCGCGATAATTCTTACAGTAGCAATTATTAATAATCCAACTATTTCGACGCAAGTAAACTCCACTTAAAAACAACAATTATTCCGCTGTTTCACTGTTCCAAATAATCTCAAAATTCAGCGCTTCAACCACTATCGAAAGCACACAAGTGCACAGATCTACTGTGAAAAATAATAACACTTTGCAACTGTTCCGTTGATATAAATAATCACCGAGTCTACTAATCTCCATCGAGACACAAGTATATCACGAGGGCTATACAGCACACAGAGAGCGGCCACGTAAAGGCCAGAAGAATTAAACGGAGGCCGGCCGCAGACGCCCGGTCGCCTCGTTGGTTAAACGTTAAGCAGTGAATCCCCCGCAGGAAAGGGGGGTGGCTACTCCAATCCAAGCCAGGGTGGCGGCTCTCTTTATCACTTTTCGATCACCGTTCGAATCTGTTCCGGAGTTACTTTCATCTGTCGGCGGCCCCTTCTCTCCCTGTCCCGTAAAAAGAAGATCCACTGGCGAAAGGTCGGTGGGATAAAGTCGCCGGGGCGGTCCTCTTCCTCGTTTTATCGTGGCTTCCGGAACGACCGAAATATCCAACGAAACCAGGGTGGAAAGGTGGAGCTCGCGTTTCCCAAACCGGAGCCAGTTCAAATAGAATTGGTCCGTCTGGAAAAACGAAACCGTAAATATTTACTGACCTCCTTTTTTTCGGCAGACAGCCGAAAGAGAAAGAAGAAAGTAATGGGGGGGGG